AAATGGGAAACACCCCCCCCCCCCAAAAACCCAAAGAAAACCAAACCAAACAACATAATAAGTACATTAACATGAAATCCTGGCATATGTGAAATAAACCTTAAGTGTGGTACACAAATACTGAATAACAGTATTTTTAAATTAAATCCAGTGAGCTAAAACCTCAAGCTACATTTCTTGTTTGCAGGCTCATATGTGAAGCTTGACTGAAGTAGTGGTCATCCGAAGTGATGCATTTCTGCACAGAAGGACTGATGAGCTTTTGATGTGCAGAAGAGCATCTCCATGTACCTTCAGGCCAAAATTTACTGGCTTTCCAGGCAGAACAGCTGACTTGAAATTATTGTTTCAAATGGGAAAGAGAGCAAGAAAACATACAGTACTTGAGGAAAATAAAGGTATAATATTTTTCTTCTTGAAGTTTTGATACAGGTAATCAGAAAAACTACTAAAGTAATAATTCAAAGTAATGTTCAGTGTAAACAAAAGTGGTTTAAAAAAAGGTGATTATATTTAAGTTTAAAGGGAAAAAAACAAAGTAGCAAACACTCAAAAACCCACAGCCCTCAACATCTACACTAATCCCCGCCCCCCAATAAAAAAGTAAGCAAGCCCTCCCAGAAATTACTTACTTGAGTATTAATTACTTCTGGAGACAGCATCTTATCAAGTTGTGGATACATTTCTAGTCGAATGTTTAAAACACCAGCGGAAACCTTCGATTCTGTACCTTTTAATCAAAATAAATTTTAATGAATTCTCTCAAAATTAATTTACTGAAGACATTTCAACCAAACAGGAGCAAATAACTACAATAAATGTTAGCTATATAATTACAAAAAAATAACTAAACATCTTTAAATAAATGCAAAATAAGCATCTTTATTTAAATTTCAAACTCAAATGAGGCTGTAAGAAAGCATAATATGGCAAAAAAAGCAGACAAGTAGATGTGAGATAATTATCCAAGGCCCTTGTCCTGGTTTTGGCTGGGATGATTTTCTTCCTAGTAGCTTTCATCATAAAGTAAAATATAATAACAATGCAATAATGCTATTATAATAATATTGATAATACTGTAATGAAATAGATATGAAGGAATAAACCCCGCCCCTGAGGAAAACCAAACAACCAAACATGAAGTGATGCACAGTACTACACCCACTGACCAATGCCCAGCCCATCTCCAAATAATTATTGACCCCCCCCAGCCAACTCTCCCCAGTTGACATACTGGGCTTGATGTTCTATGGTATGGAATACCCCTTTTGCAAGGATGCCTGATAGTGATTTATGAGTTGAACTAAAATTAAACTACATCATAAGTACCACTTTATGCTTACAAGCAAGCCCAGTACCCAGTATTTTAAAGCCATCATTACAGCCTTATTATTTATCCTTACCTACACCCAGGAGTTCAACAGCAACATTTGTTATGCCATTCTCTGCAGCCAAGACAGATCGCCACTCCAAGAAATAGGATGCTACTAGTGTTGTTTCACCAAACGTGTCTGTTTTGATCAGCACCATATGCACTGGATCACATATAGATAACATAGTGGTTGCATCCACCATTTTACTTCCATCACCTGCCATTATTAAACCAAGATAAGACAGCAAGAATATTATCATCCTAAATCTTCCTCAGAATTAAAAAGTATGCATTTACATTCATTGAATACATCGCACTTTAAGAAAAATCTCATGTCCAGGAGTGTAAGCAATGATCCCATCTTAAAATCAAACTCAGTTTAGGACCTAGCTACAGAGAGGTTACAGTTAATTTACAGAGGAGATAAAGATTCCTATAGCTGAATACTCAAATGTAACTGCTTCAACTCTACAAAAATTAAAATGGAATTAGCATTTAGGAAAATAAGGAATATTAAAGGACCATTTATGAAAAGCAATTGAAAAATATTCTTTTAATAAGTTGGAATGCATCACATAAACTAACTGTACATCAGTATTTAGGAAACAACTTTCCCTGTAGTTAAGCTTCACTCTACAATATGAATATCTCCAGGAGCAGTAGAATTAACAAATCTGGGGTTTTTTGCATCTGTGGTATATTCACTCCCTTGTCAACTGCAGTAACTCTGCCTTTCTCTGTGTTTCCTGATGTCACATAAGCTACCCTGGATTTTTACAGGATTCAGTCAACATTCAGAAGTCTTTTCAGAACATACTTAGCTCCTACCATGTTCCCTGGCTACCAACAGAAGAACGGTAATGCAGGCTGTGGATGACTGACTTTTGTGCAGGTGTTTGCAAACTGAACTCACACTGCAGATTCCCTTCCACGTGATTACAAATTCAAATTTCTCTTCTTCATTTGTCAGCACAAACAGCCACCTTAGCTGAGACTATCATCTTACTGTCAATTATGGATCAAGTTGGTCAAATTCAAAAAAAAGAAGAGGAGGCCAGAGTAGAGAAATACCTAAAAGTGGCATAACCTAATACTGTAATCAGTTTCCTGAGGAACACATGATAAAAAATAGGAAAGAAATCCACTAAAGAGCTGTAAACATTTCACAAAACTCTCAAGTCGGAAAAAAACAACCCAACAGCATCAGCTTTAAACCCACAATATTCCTTACCTAGGCTATCCTTGTGTACTTCAAGTAAAAAACCATCACGAAAATCTGGGTCACAGGCACAGGCTACAGGTTTAGAACGGAAGCGCTGGTTTCGAAAATGTAAACACAGAGTGAAGGTAGAACAGATCTGGCCAGGCAGAGGCTCTGGTTCCTGAAGATGTTCCAGAAAAGCTTTTCCACCCAAAACCTGAAGGTAAAGATACCTCCGTGTTGGGTCAATGTTAGCTGTAAAGTGTAGCAATAAAAATGAAGAGACTACAAACAGATCTTAGAATGCATAATAAACATCAGTTAACTAATAGGATACTAGGAAAAAGAAACATTTTTGAGACAAGTGCTTAGGATAAAGTGATTTTACAATGTATGGAAGTTATCTTCATGTAAAATAATGAAATAAAGAAAGAAGTTGTATTTTATGTGACACTAATTTCTGCTGCTTACATGAATTTACTTCCTCTATATAAGCAGGAAGAACATCTACCTTTACGTCAGTAATGGATTACTAATTCAGAGTCCAAAAGTCATAACTTCAAATTTCTCTCAAAACTAGGATCCAAATATTAAAATAAATAAACAACATACTTTTTTTCAAAACTGGTGGCTCTCTGTCAATGAAATGTGTTGATGGTTTTGGAGCTGAAGTCCTCTCCTTTTCATTCCCATCCTGGAATTACAATTAAAGACTTTTTTTGAGGCATCAAGGGATGCAACAGTGCTCTTACGGCAGTCTTCTAAAAACTAAATAATCCACTGTTTTAACCAAATGCCATTCATCAGGTATGCCCTGTTCTAGTACTCAAGATGCAACAAATTGAACAAATATTTATGATGTAGTATTACCATTAACCCAATTTTAGCATATGCATTAAGCTGTTCTGCTTCTATTACGTCACAAATCAGTAAAACCATTATAAACCTTTAAAAGTACCATGTTCTGACTTTGTTAAATCTAAGTCAGTAAGAGAAATGAACAAAAATATTTTAACTCTTCAAAAACTACTTACAGTTACAAATTTAAGTTCCTTCATAACATCATCAATGATTCCTCGTTGTCTTAAAGCTTTTATCAGATCTTCTGTGGATAACTGCTGATGCTCAGGTGCTAACTCTTCACGTATAGTCTCAGCAAGAACTTCTCTTATCCTGCCATGGACATCCATCTGAAAGAAAATTCACTATATGCTACAAACACCTGCTCTTTCTACGGTAGCAGCTGTGACTAAACAGTCACTCTATTCTCTAAAATCTAAGTCTATTCTCCTAGGAACACAGAATTAACTACACCAAAACATTAATCCTTTCAGAACTGATCAAATGAGTCACTATCTCACTAAAGCTCTACCAGTTACAAAAGTTATGGGCATACAGAACCTGCGCATTTTCACTGCTCTTGACAGTATCCCCCGCCTTGAACTTCCCTCCTCACAAAAAGGTCTGCAAATCTATTACAAAATGGTTGCTGCCTCCCTCAAAATTCAAACTTAGGATAATAGCTTATTTTTGTTAAATAAAAACACTCTAGTGTGAGGTGCCACTGTCCATGGCGGGGGGTGGTGGTGTGTGAAACTAGATGATCTTAAGGTCCTTTCCAACCCTAACTATTCTATGGTTGTATGATTAAGGTGAAAAATACACCTTTGTGTACTCATAGGTAAGGTGCAAAAGTAGTAAATCTCCACTGCGAGCTCCTCCTGTGCTCAAAAGGGGGTTAAAGAATTTCTGTCCTTCACCTCAGCTGTCAAACTGCACGGATTTGTAAAGCTGTTTCTCACACAAGAAGAACGTTACGGCCACAGCCACCACGCCTTGAAATACTTCGTGATGCGCGAGTTAAAGCATTCATATTTATTTTCCCGTCAGTTCAAAATGAAGCCCCAGGCCCAGGGTGCAGACCCCGCCGCCGAAAACTGCTGCCGTCCTCTCCCTGAACGAGGCAGCGCCTGACAGAGAGAAGCCATGGGGAGGTGGCCGGGGACGGGCCTCAGCTCCATCACCCTGTAGCCCGGTAAACAGAAAATGAGAGAGGACCGGAGGCGGTAGGAGACGACGCGGAGATAGGCCGCACGCGGGACAGCAGTTCGAACTGTTGCGGGCCCCCCGGAAGGGTGCGCAAACGCCAGAAGGCGCAACAGCGCCTGGAAACCACAAGTAGGGAAAATAAAAGCAAGGCGATGGAGCTAGCACGCTGCATGCCCTACCCCCGCCTCAGCGGGCACTGCTGTCACCAAGGGACCCACCTTGACGAGCTGCTGGTGGATGATCTTCTTCAACTCGGAGGCTTTCTCCGGCGGCAGCGACATGGCGGCAGGGCAGGAAACGAGCCGCAACACTCCTCAATGGGGAGAGGGCCGAGGAGCCTCTCGCCGCCGACAAGGCTCCACCCCCAACCGCCCTTCCAACGAGCGCAGTGCGTGGGGGGCCGTTACGGCCGTTACTCCCCGCCCCGCTGAGGAGAGAGGCGTAGCTCCCGTTGCATTCTCCCTTCTTTCGCGGCCGGCATGTTTGTTCCGTGCGACCATGGCGGGCCTTCCGCCACTTCCGACTTTAAAGGCTTCACTCTGCTCATGGTGAGTTGCGCTTCTGATGCCCCTGCCCTGCCCTTAATGGGCTTGAGGGGGCGCTGCTCGAATGGGCCAACCCAGAGCGAGCGAGCGGGGCTCGCCGCTGCTCTGGGCCTGGGCGCCTGAGGACTGCTGTCTGTGCTGTGGGACGCGGGCGGGGGCTCGTTTTCTTGTCTCTGAGGGCTGAGATACTTCGGTTTCCTTCTCCCCTGCTCGGCGTCGTTCCTGGGTACTTGCCCGCGGGAAAGCGGAAAGGCGCTGGGCAGGCGACTGTGGTGTCCTTGCGTATATCTTGCCGTGTGTTTTGCCGCGTTAAAGAGGATTTGAAGGGGTCTTTTCCAGAGCTTAATTCGGTCCCTTCTGTTTCCATCAGTTTCTCCCTCCTCAACTGCCTGGCTTTTTCTTCTGTTAAGCTGTTGTGTGCCGGGCTATAGCTATATGCTGTCTCTCTAAAATTAAAATGCCACATGTCATTTTGCAAGTTTTGTAGTACCTATGGGTTGTCACTGGAATAAAAGCTTTTTTTTTTTTTTTTTTTAAATTTAGATGAGATATATGTTTCGAATGAAAAAAAATCCTTGTTTCTGCTATATTTTAACCGATTAGGGTTGTTTTAGGAAGTGTTTTATCATGCATGGTATGAAATCAATTTAAGGTACTCGAGGTTACTTTGTTTATTGTGAGGTAAGAGTTCTAGTGCAGGCTGCGAAGTAAAACCATTGTTTTTCTTACCAGTGAGTCGCTTTACTGTATTACCTAAAGGTAACCCTATCACTTTCCATCGAGGGCTGCACAGCCCGGGATGACTCTGCAGGCTGCACGGGAAGTCATTCCAGATCAGGTGGTGAGCAACAGGAAACAGATCCTTGCTGTTTTCTGTGCCTAGGAGTATCAGGCTATTGAATACTAGCTATTTTGTAAGCGCTGTTACGTCCTCTTTCACCGTGAGCTTATTGACATCAAATACGGCAGCAATTTGTAGATAGTTTATAACTTAGAGGGAGGCAACCAAAACTTTAGTTGTCTTCCTGTAATAATTTCTGTAAAAGGACAGAGCTCTTGAATTTGTCTTTCTGTGCCATTATATTAGGTCACTATCTGCCCCGATTGGTGATAAACTATAGCATTTCCTATGTAATGAATCCAAGATGACCCTTAGCATTTTCATTATTAAAAAATTAAAAAACAACCTGCTTTTGTATATGGGTCAATCTAAGATTTGTAGGTTCAATATGTAATATCAGCATTACCATTAGGTGTCACTAGGTGACTAGGTGCCAATCTCAGCATTAGGGGTTTGAGCTTCTTTTACCTATTCTGTATCCAATAAAAAGAGAGGAAGGAGACAGGTTTTTAAAGCATTTGTTTAAGTTTACAGCAAGACAGGGATTATTTAGAGAACTGGCTAGGATGTTTTTTGTGGGACAGTGTCCAAAATCTATATTAGCAATCTGCTAAGGAATAGTCGCTTTTGTCAGAGGATGGCTAGCCCCTTTCAGAAATCATGTTTGACTAGAACTGAAGTAGTTTAAACTTTTACTATTTGAAGAGTGTCTTGTATTGTCCATAAAACACACTATAATTCAGTAACTTCTGTTACTTCAGCCAGCAGTGTCGGTGGGAAATGTTGGTCAACTGGCAATAGATCTAGTGATTTCCACGCTTGACATGACTAAAGTTGGTTACTTCTACACTGATTGCTTGGTGCCAATGGTTGGAAATAATCCATATGCAACAGCAGAAGAAAACTCAGTGGAGCTGAGTATAAATGCTGAAGGTGAGTATTGAATGCCGAAAGTGGTTATTGAATGCTGAAGGTATTTGCAAGCTGCAGAAAGTGCAAGAATGTCATGGTTTTTTGTTGTTACAAAAACTAATGTCAGTAATAACAAGTTCAGTAAGTAACAGATAAAAATGTATTTACACTTCACAAAGGAAACTATTTTAAGTTATTTTGGATAATCAATTTGACACATGGAACCAGTAAGAAATCATAGAATCAAATGCCGAATTTCAACTATTTACAGTGCAGTCAAAACTCTGGTTTTCATCCAAAGCAACATGAAGGGTATTTGGAGAAAACTGCTAGAATGCAAGCTGAAATGTTCATGTAGAAGGCCATTTAGCCTTTCTTTTTCCTCTTCCTTCTTTCCCGCCAGTGTTTGCCTTTTTTCTTGTCTGGTGTTTCTCCCTCTCTCCCCTTCAAAGTCTTAGTTTCTTTCCCTATATTGATCATTGCATTAAATAGTTTGTTGGTTTTTTTTTTCTGTCTTAAATCATGCAAGTCTCAGAATAATCTGTCAGTCTCTGCAAAGCTGCATAACAAGATTATCCAAATTGTTGCAGGAGGTAGATCATCATATACTTTTCTTCATTCAGTCTGTTGAATTTATGACAAGTTAAGTCCAGTGAAGACAATGCTCAAAAATACATATTTTTAACTGACAGCTGGAAGGTTTACTATCCTGAGGTTTGTAAATTGGATAATTCTGGATACTTCTAGACACAGATATCTCTCTTGCTTTCTTCTTACAAAACTTAATTATTTCCTATTATAGTGTATTCGTTACCTTCAAAGAAACTTGTAGTTCTGCAGATCAGATCACCATTCATAAAGGTATGAAGGTGCATTGATTGTTCTTACTTCACTCTTCATTTTGAATAGCTCTGCTGGCAAATAGCTTAAATGGCCTCGCAAAATGGTTTTTCTACAATGTGCTATAACACCTTTCAGCTGATGCAATTTCAAGTGACAAAAGCTGACATGCACATTTATTGAGGTTTGAGGTTTTGTTGTTTTTCCAAGCCCAATAACAGTCCACCTATGTTATTAACACTCTTAAAAAATGGTCTGGGTTTTGTCTTCTTTTTTTTTTTTTTTTTTTAAACTCTTTATTGGGTTTGTGTGTTCTTTTATTGTAATAGCTTGATTTTTTTGAGTCAGTCCAATTTAATTATTTCACAGTGTTCTATATTACTTTAAACTGCATTCATTAGGTAAAAATGAAGAATTTAAAATTACTTATTAATTGGATAGTGGCTGTAATTTAAGCAGAATGCCATGCCAGAAAAAAAAAAAAAAAAACAAAAAACAAAATATGCTGCAGTTTTTAGCAGTTGACAGTGTGGAAAAATCCTGTGTGATCCTACCATCCCACCTTACTGTAAAGCATTTTCTGTTGGTGTTAATGGCATACAAAAAGGGTGGTACTGTTGTTGTTAATGTGGGCTTCATGATAATTTTTATCATTATACATGTAGTTTTGATTAAGTAAACAACCAGAGTAATAGTCTGCTTTTTAAAACTGTAACATCGAAGAATAAATGGATATGAAGAAAAATCTGCATCACTGCTAAACATTATATGTAACAGCTACTATTGTTAGCTTTTGTCTTGTGTGGGGTTTTTTTGTTTGTTTGGTTTGTTTTAAGGCACAATATGTTTTTCACTTCTTTTTTCTCTTTCATTTTATTAAGAATAAGTACAGGCCATTCTGTCAAATGCTGCTTTCTTGGGTGAAAAGCAGTAGATGTGCCAGAGTCATTCTTCTGTCTAGCAGCCATGCCTATCAGCGAGATGATGAGCAGCTTCTTGGGTATGTTTGTGCCGTTAAAATAACTAATTAATGTTTCTGTTCTTTTTGACAAACTGACATTATTTCCTTCTACTCCGTTCTTTTGGCAAGGTTCTTTTGCTTGGGGGAGGGGGGGAGGGAAGAAAGGGGGGGAGTGAGCAAGAGGGCTGCATGGTTCTGATTTACAGCCTGGGCTTAAACCACGACACCTGTGTACATAGGTTGTAAAATAATGTACTGTTAAAACATTATGTTACACAGGATTGGTCTCTAAACTTTCTTAGTTGCTGCTGTTGAAAGTATTGAGCAAAAGGCCTGCACTGTTAGGCAATAGAGCCTCAGTTTTACCTTCTTAATTGTTTGTGGCTGCAAGCAACCTCAGGGATTAACTGCTAACATATAGGTCACAGACTAGATTTTTAACAGTTAATTGGAATATTGATTAGTTTCTTATTCTATAGTTTGAAAGTTTTCTTTAATGTAGTAAGTTATTTAATATAGTTTGATAGTGGAAGTTCTTATTTGTTGGGAGTTAACTCCAAGGTTCAGATGATACACGTTTTTATTAAATATTACTCCTTTAAAAACAAGCATTACTTACTGATTGAGGACATCAGGACTGGTGATGTAAAAAAAGCAAACAAGAAAACCCCAATATTTTTGCAAAAGACCAATTTTTATCCTCAGGCTGTATAAATGTGTAGGGCTTTAGAGGAAGTTTAAGTGCATTCACGTCTCAGATACAGTTACCAGTGATATTTGCATCCAGTTGCAGAATAGCCAGCGAACATGCAATGAAATGAGAGGGACTAATGGTTATTTGATGTGGTCTGAGTCGTAAGTTGTGGTGGTTTAAACCCCCTCAGCACCAGAGAATCTGTTGCAGCACCAGAGAATCTCTTGCAGCACCGGAGAATCTGTTACAGCAGATTCACTAAAGAGCAAGGGTAGTGCATTCAGAAAATACTTAAGACTTGACTGAAGTCTACATATATTTCTGGTGTGAGTTTATTAAAAGTACTGTATCATAGTGAAGTCCAAGTTTACCCTAACAAACTTTAAATTAATCATCTCCTATCTGAAGGAAGAAGAAACACATTTTGTTTGTAAATCATTTAGCAACCATGAGCAGTTCTGCTATTAATGTGCTTACATATCAGGTACTTGCCAGTTATTTGAGCCTTTAAAAAAAGGGTACCTTAGTTCTCTTTGTGGCAGAAAGTTGAGTAGTTTGTACTGTTTTGAAGCTGCATTTTAAATTTAAATGAAGAAGGGAATGTCAGTGCACTTCTTCATTGTAGGTGTGAGGTCCTCTACCCTCACCCTCCACCCTGCATCCTTCTGTCACAGTGACATTGGTAGTGTCTTTTATTGTCAGACTGAATGTATTCTTGATTTGTTTATAGGACACCACTACGCTACCTACTTACACCTGACCTTGAGAAAGCAGTTGGAGGTCTTATGCAGGAGCTAAACTGGAAAGAAATGGAGAAAGTAGCAGCTTACCCTGGAATAAATGATACAGAAAAAGTACTACATATTCCTGGAGGTGGCATCACAAAACGATTGTTTACAGAGAGGTAAGTTGCCTTAAGCACAGAAAGGTATCAGAACTCTCATTTTAAGTACATGGGTAAAATTATTTTCTAAACTGTTATGGTATAGGAAACGTCCTAATAATAAAATAATAATAATAATAAATGGGAATATCATGACTAAGGTAGTGATACGCAGCCTGCAAAACTGCTGTTTGAAATGTCCTGAAAGAAAACAAATGATTATATCAAAGGATCTCTATAAATGCCCCACGAACACAAAAATGCAAACTAACTGTGTAAAAGAGGTCCTGAGTAACACTTCCATGATGTAGGATTTCTGCCTCACAAAGCAAAGAACAGATTCTAGACTAAGAACATCAAGTGTGAAAAAGCAATCAAGGAAGTGTGGAGAGGGGAAAAAAGGCCCCACCTTTCTATATATGCATACATTTTTACTTTGGTTTTGGTTGGTTTTTTTTTAACAAGCCATATGCAATTGTTGTTGCTCTTAATGCATAAATGTAGTTGTTCTGGGTCTAGAAATTAAATAGAAATGCCTGCTCATTTTTGTTGCAGCTGCTCAAAAGGAATCCAAATGGCAGTTCTTTTGAAATTCTGCTCAGAAGGTGACAACATCCCTGATGCATTTGCTCTTGTTAACTATCTTAATGAATGGCTTCAGTTAATTAAAAGTGAAGTAAGTGCTGTTTTATCTAGAGTTCTTGCATTTGTATTTTATAGCCACTATTTTATTTTTTTCTTCAATCCAGGACATTAAAAATGTTACTCAGCTGAATTTTAGGAAAGTTAAAAACATAATGGTTGGGTTCCTTTTGGTCCTTGGTCATCAAGTATATGGCAAATTAAAGACACGTTTTGCTTCAAACCTCACTGGAAATTTCACCACCTGAAAAAACAAACCTAAACACTAACTCTTTTGTTTGACAGCTGCGGGAGAAAATTGTGTAAGGGTTTGATTGAGTTTGAACTTCCAGTCCTCTTCTCTAAAGCAACCCATGATATATTGATTCTTGAAATGCTGCCTGATGTTTTAATACATGTGCCAGAGATAGAATTGCACCATTACTATTTAAAACTTAATGAGTTATTCTGATTCTATTGCAGAGTGACAATTCCACAGATACTTCTTCACAGTGGAAAATACCAAGTTCTTGGCGCTTACTTTTTGGCAATGGTCTCCCACCTGCACTCTTCTGATCAATTTTGAACTCCTCTGTAAGTCACATGTGCAGTCTCAGATGTCCCTTGAGAAGTTATTAGTCATTGCCAAGCAACCGCAGCTTACTTTGTGTCTGCATTAATTCTTTATTTAAGAAAAATTCCTTTAACATACGTGGGTAGTAGCTAAAGAAATGAAGGTGATTTTCACAAATTGACCAAAGAAATACATTTTGTACAGTTCTTTATTGAATAACTTTTGTTGATTTTGTTTGTTTGTTTGTTTCTAATAAAATATTTTTGAAAAAAAACTTTTTCTTTGGTTAAGTGTTATTGCTATAGAAATATTTCTGGTGCACCTTCTTCATATAGCTGAGAACTTGAGATTGATGTGCAGGCATAGATGTTTCTTACAAAGATAAACCACTCATCTTCTGTGTGAACTGTGGATCTTAGCGTTTTTGTCCACAAAAACCTTCCTGGTGATCTAAGGGAAGCTCAGAAGTGATATAGTTCTGCTTTTGTTTCCCAGTACTGTTCTTGTTACTTCACCTGGTGAGACTGCAGGTCTGTTGGGCTCCTCCTGCAGTCTGCAGGAGACAGCAGCCTGTTGTATCTTTTCTGCTCTACTTCCATCATATAATTTCTGTTCTGCTTCCAAGGACTGCAGACTAAAGCCTTCTAGGTAGATAAGCCGCCTTATGCTGATCTGAGGATGAATACAGTGCTCTGAAATGTAAAGGAATTGGACCGTTGCCCTAATAGCAGTCAGTCTGGTATCTGTGTATTTCATAAGCTTAGTCTGAGACACCAGTTGTGTGATGCAAAATTCATGCATTTAATGTTCGTAATAACACTTCTTGTGTTATTAAGCTATGTTTTCAGTTTCGGTCTTTTGGAAGTACTTGGCCACATCAGCTTATTTAAAAGTAACTTTAAATCTAGAATTTCAGAGTTGTGACCTATGAATTAATACACATGACACAAGGCATAATTTTAAATATTTAGTCTGCTAAATATGTGGGGTTTGGTTTGGGTTTGTGTTGGTCTTTTTTTGTGATGTGGTCATAGAATCATAGAATAGTTAGGGTTGGAAAGGACCTTAAGATCATCTAGTTCCAACCCCTTGCCATGGGCAGGGACGTCTCACACTAAGCCACGTCACCCAAGGCTCTGTCCAACTTCGCCTTGAACATCGCCAGGGATGGAGCATTCACAATTTACTTGGGCAACCCATTCCAGAGCCTCACCACCCTTACAGTAAAGAACTTCTTTGTTATACCCAATCTAAACTTCCCCTGTTTAAGTTTTAACACATTGCCCCTTGTCCTATCACTACAGTCCCTAATGAAGAGTCCCTCTCCAGCATCCTTATAGGCCCGCTTCAGGTACTGGAAGGCTGCTACTGGGGTCATGCCAGTAGAAAAAAATATGAGGAAAAGGAGCAGCAGCAATCCTGAAGAGATATGTTAAAGGTTTAGGAATAAGATTCAGTAGTCAGCTTTGCTTGAGAACTTGTGCCTGGTAGTAAAGAAGAGCAGTTCAGTGAATATGACTGATCACCCCAAGGATGCCATATTATTTGTCTTTTTGGGGTTTTGAGGTGAGAATCACAGTGAATGACTGTCAGAGAGAACTAATATTTGAGTGAATGTTCAGTTACTGTTCTTTTGCCACAAAACAATAAGAAATTTAAGTGTTTCCTAGTCTTAATTCTGCTCTGCAGAAGCAGATAATGCAGGGCAAACTGAACCTTGGAGAGCTGGTATGTAAAGCAAACACTTCATATAATTGTATGTCCAAATGTCTTAAAATAGAGGTAGTCAGTCACAAACCTAGGTATGTGTAGAGTGATTAGCACAAACTACTGGCTGCTGGCATTAGGAGAACTGGAAAGACTTCAGGATTAATTATATCTGTAGTGGTTCTGTTTTGTAAAGGTTTGGATTGTATTAACACTAATGCTTCTTAACACTAAATGCCATACTAGAACTGCAAAGTAATCCTTTGCTCATACTAATAAGCGTTTAGTAGTAATGCACAAAGATGCCACTTTTTGTGAAGATGCATCTTTTAGGGTGTAAAAAAATGAGCTATGGCTAGATCTAAAATATTTGGGAATGACTGTTGTGCCTGTGATTGTGAATCAAAAAAACTTACCTGACCAAAAAGCACTTTGCATACAACAAGACATTTAATCAAGTAACATGACGAAAAAGATCACCTTAGTCCTAGCTTAAAGATTTATTTTGTCTCATGGCCTTGTCATTGTTTTGTAAAATGTTTGAGTTTCTGTAGGCAACTGGAAGGCTCTATGACTTGCAGCCTGCCTATATAAAGATCAGGTCACGGTGATACTTCATGCTAGCAGATGTTTACTCAAATTTTGCTTTTTTGAAAAAGGACTGATGACCTAAATATTCTTCTGATGTCATTCTTCATTGTGATGGGTTCTCAGTTTTTCTGTGACTGCAGTACACTACCTCTAACTGGACAGCAGTGAGCATGGAGAGGTTTGGTAACTTACAAGAGTGTAATTTACTGCTGCACATTAGTTTGAAAAGCTGAATCTGCCAAGCTGGTTGAAAACTTTCGCCTCAAATGATTAAATACTTAGCTACTTTAAGCAAATACTGTTGTAAATCATAAGAACTACTTGCTTATTCTTATGCACTGCTGATTCTGGAACTGAGTATTTTCCTTTATTAGAATCTGACCTACTAAGAAGTCAGAAGTTGCAGCTGATCACAGCCCTGGTTGAGGCTTTCAACCTGAAAGCCAGCAGGGTATATCAGATCTACCAGTAAAATCAAAAGCTGACCTTAGAATGAAGCCGTAGGAGATATTCAGTTCTCCCTTCCACACACCAATGCCTCTGTATGGTCTAATGGCCACGTTTGGTTTGAACTGTGGCTTTGCTGACATACCAGAGAACAGGTCAAGAAAAAATGGCCTGGAAATTTAAACATGCTCGTTGTAGAACATGCACTCTGTTATTTTAGAAGAGTGGGTGGATATGGACAAGAAGAATTCTTTGAACTGACAGCTGCTACATTGAATGGTGGTATTTAAAGGGGGCAAAATATTTAACTCATGGGGTTGTGTTGGAATCAGTAAACAAACCAACATGATGGAGATGGCAGTTTAAATCAGCTGTATCTTCTTGAAGCTTTCCTGAGATGAAAACCCTTCTTCAGAAGGAAGAGGATGAACACCTACCTCTGCATTACTTTAGTATTTCTACTACATGAGCATGAGACTATTCCTGCACTGAAGGTATGTCTTCTTTTTTTACACTAAATTGCAAGTTACTGAGTGTTACCTATCAAAGAGTCAGCCTTTCAACTAGAGCTTGCACACTGCTTGTACAACAAGTACAGTTGTTTGGAAGCAGTTATGTATGCACTGGAGCTACTTCATGAGGCTTTTCCAACCATAGAATGTTGCTGTGCCAGGGAAAAAAGGAATTATCAACAGGCACAAGCATTTTAAGTTCCTTATGGCCTTTTTGTTGGGTTTTTGTTTGGGATTTTCCTTTTTTTTTTTAAATATGATTGTATAATATTTATTTAGCTACTTGAGTACTTAGTTCCTCTGGGATCAAATTACCTTCTTCATTTAGGCCTCTTCACAGGTGTCATTATTCTAGCACCCGTGAACTTCAACCACACTGCAGTAAACATATTTAATATCTCTGCCATCTGCAGCCTTGTGTTTCGTATGATGCTAGGTACTGCAGACAAATTGTAGAGTAGGTGTGTTGCATCATAAAGAGTTAATTTGTGTAAAGCCTTGGTGTTTAAATAATGTGTGACATATGAATAGCAAGCCCAAACAGGGTTTGCTGCACCTGTTTGATGCAGGTACACAGATCTAGAATATACTGTGCAGATCTAAAATATACAAGGTACTAAAAAAACTTGGAAATACTAATGGCAACTTCTGTGGCTTTTAAAGGGTAAGTTAAAAAAATCTGAAGGGTAAAACCTTACTTGGGCAGCAAGCAGTGTTGCTTGGGCATCCACAGAAAGTTCATCAGGGAGGGAAAATTTGTATTAATTATATTAACCAGGATGCAGTGTAACGTGTGCCCAGTGGCATTTGAGATGCTGCAGTTCAGAAAGTGTTTAACTACAAAACTCTCAGTCAAAATCCAAGCAGCTGTGGTAATAGATTAAATTGCAATCAGAATCAGGATGGCTTGAACAAGGAGAAGCAGTGATAAAAAGCTAGAGGGGGAAAAACTAGGATTCTGAAGCAACAGCAAGAGTGTGTTTGATCACCAGACCACAACCAAGAAGCATTTTGAATTTTTCTGAGGCATGAGAGTTGCTTTTTATCTCTTCTTCTTGTGATTACGGATAAAGGTGCAATTTTGCATGAAAATATTCTCACAAATAGCTTAGATATAGTAATTTTTTGCTGTCATTTTGGTTGAGCCAGTAGTTACATTACAAACATCTTGGGGTGCTTTTTTTTTTTTGGGGGGGGGGGAACCTTAACAAAGATTAAGTATTTTTTAAACAGCATCTTAAAAACCTCGATTGTTTCAACTGTTTGTAAATAAACCACTACAATTAAGAGTGCAAGCCAGCCAAGCTTCTTTTAACACTCTCCATCTGTTTCTAAATACAGATACGCTGGTAGTCCCTTAGGGCTCATGTGCTCACAAGCAGGGCAGGCAGGTGGCCAGATGCTGCACTAATAACCCGCTGTGGAGGTTGACAGGAGAATGAAATCCTGGGTTCAGAGAAGATGCTGACTTATCCTCCTTCAGGAGTCAGGCATCTGAAGAAAATCTCTTTGTGCACTAACTGGGAGAATACATCATACATGAAGGCATCAGGTAAGCTATTCGTAACATGATGGCAAGACACTTAAGAAGGCAGAAAGCAGCACTTGAAGATACTTTAACCAGAAGCACCATTGTGTAGTTAAGGAGCAGCAGCTAGGATGGTTTTCCTACCCTCTTTTGCTCAACATACTCTCTACAGCTTCTTCATCTTTCAATCTAAATCTTGCAATAAATTTATGAGAAAGGCAGGCAATGGAAAAGTACAAGATTATATTAGGATTTGGGTGTCTTATTCTCTTCTTTTACTCATTCGACTGATTTCTGAACCTGTGCTCGTCATAAGCAGTTTTCCACTGCTGGCATCTCTTTTCAGCTATTAAGAAGCATCATGAGACATGAAATGT